TGCTACCTAGACGATATCCTGATTTATTCTAAGAATGTTGAAGAACATGAAATACATGTTCGTCAAGTATTACAAAAACTCAGAGATGCAGGATTGTACGCCAAGATGGAAAAGTGTGTATTTCACACTACTCAAGTTGACTTTTTAGGATACATCATTTCAAATGATGGTCTTATCATGGATTCTAAGAAAGTCCAAACAATCATGGATTGGAAGATTCCAAAGACTGTGAGAGATGTCCAATGTTTCTTGGGATTTGCCAATTACTATCGGATCTTCATCAAAGACTTCTCACGAGTTGCAGCTCCACTTACACGCTTGACTAGTAAAGATAAATTCCAATGGAATCAAGAAGCGGAAGTAGCATTTGAAGCCTTGAAGACATCGTTTGTCTCTGCACGAGTCTTATATCGTGTTGACTTTTCCAAGGCATTTTTTATGGAAACAGACGCATCGGATTTTGCCTTGGGTGCAGTTTTATCACAAATGGGAACAGATGACAAACTTCATCCGATAGCTTTTCATTCAAGAAAATTCTCAGCAGCCGAGATCAATTATGAGATCCACGATAAAGAACTTCTTGCAATCGTGGATTCCTTTCAAGAATGGCGTCATTATCTAGAAGGTGCTTCTAGTCCAGTCACTGTGTATACAGATCACAAGAACCTCGAGTATTTCATGTCAGCACGCATGTTGAATCGTCGTCAAGCTCGTTGGAGTATGTCTTTGTCAAGATTCGACTTCATTATCACTTATCGGCCAGGAAAACAACAAGGTTTGTCCGATGCCCTGTCTAGACGTTCTTATTTTGCACCAAAAGAAGGAGATGCAGCTTTTGAGCAATAAAGAACGGTCCTCTTGAAACCGGAGCAATTTCATCTCCGAGCAGTGAAATCAACATTGACTGTTGATTCAACTTTTCTCAAGCAAATCCAGTCCAGTATGTCCTCAGACCCTCTTGTTCATGATATCGAGAATAATTCTTCTAAGTCTCATGATTCTTCTAAGTTCGAGTTCAAGAATAATCTATTATATTTTGAAGGACGCCTATATGTTCCAGAAGGAAAAGCACGTTTACGTGTTCTTCAAGCACGTCATGACTTTCCAGCAGCAGGGCACTTTGGATATAATAAGACTCTGGAACTCATATCAAGAGATTTTTGGTAGCCACAAATGTGGAAGTCAGTCAAAGACTTTGTACAATCATGTGATATTTGTTCAAGATCAAAAATTCCTCGACATCGACCTTACGGACTTCTTCAGCCATTACCTATACCAGAACAACCATGGTCTTCTGTTTCTATGGATTTCATCACAGATCTTCCAAACTCAAGATCTTATGATTCTATATTTGTGATAGTAGATCGTTTCACCAAGATGGCACATTTTATGCCATGTACAAAATCTATCACAGGTGAAGAAACAGCTAAGCTTTTCATTGATAATATCTATCGCTATCATGGATTGCCTAAAGATATCATATCGGATAGGGGAACTCAATTTGTGTCGAGATTCTGGAGGACTCTTTTCAAGATTTTAAAAGTGGACATAAAGCTATCTTCAGCTTTCCATCCTCAAACTGATGGACAAACAGAGCGCGTAAACCAAGTCTTGGAACAGTATTTAAGGTGTACCATCAACTACCAACAAGATGATTGGACAAACCTTCTGCCATTGGCAGAGTTTGCTTATAATAATACGGTACATTCCTCCACGCAACAAACACCTTTCTTTGCCAATTATGGCTATCATCCACGACTTGATACTTTTGATTTTTCAAAAGTTGATAATCCTGCAGCAGAAGATATGGCAAATCGGTTGTCAGAGTTACATGCAATAATGAAGGCGCAGTTGAAGAAAGCTCAAGAACGACAAAAGATAAATGCAGATGTATATCGTAAAGAGCAACCACAACTCAACGTGGGTGATAAGGTATGGCTACTTCGTCGCAATATCAAGACCACTCGACCTTGTGACAAATTGGACTATCGTAGGCTTGGCCCCTTTTCTGTTTCTGAACAGATCAACCCAGTTGCATATCGGTTACATCTACCGGAGTCAATGAAGATCCATCCTGTATTCCACGTGTCTCTTCTTGAACCATATAAGACAGTGGATACAGAAGGAAGAAGACAAATGCCACCGCCTCCTATAGAAGTAGATAATAATGAAGAATTTGAGGTGGAAGAGATATTAGACTCAAGGCGGCGCCAAAATAAGCTGGAATATCTTGTTCATTGGTGCGGATATGATATTAGTGAGCGCACATGGGAGCCATCCAGGAATCTAGCAAATGCATCAGCTAAAGTCAAAGTTTTTCATCAACGACATCCATCAAAACCAAGATGAAAACCTCTCTTATAAAAGAGACAAGATTGAGGCAAGATAACATTCAATTTCCTATTCTTGTTTGTAACTTCTTTGCATTTTGTGACGCTAATTAGATGGAGAGCCAACAACCAGCGGATTCAACTCAAGAACCTTCGTTTGCTGACTTACCGGATGAGACATTGCGATTGTCACAACCTTCAAGACGACGCAACCGAGATGAAGACCCTCAAGAACGACATGTTCTTCTTCGAATAGATGGTGAGATACAACGCGTTTGGTATCACGACCTTGGAAGAGATTCTCGATGTTTGGTGATATTATTGGAGATAGGAATGACTCCTGATGGTCTTTCAAATGTATTATTTGAAGGAAGTTATGAAGGCCTCAACAGTGATCAAATAACAGGGTGGTCTTCTCGCCCTGGAATGGGACACTATCGATGGCTAAGAGGACCCATCAACTATCTTCGAAGAGAACAAAGATCAGAGTATGTAGCAAATACAATTCGCCGCATATTAGATTTTCTCAATATATAATCACCGCTCCTCGTGGAACTCGTCCCTAGAAGGGGGGGTAATGTCACGGACATACATATAATTACCTATATGAATAGATAAAAGTATGTAAAAGTAGGTTAATTGTGTAATATCTTCTAGAGAAGCTTCTTAGAAGCTTCATAGATGCTGCTTTGACTTTATAGGAGTCTATAGTTGACTTTTAGGTTAGAAACTTGGTCAACAAGTTAGCCATGTGCCACGCATGTTAGAAGCTTAAAGAACAAGCTAAGTACGTGGTCCATCCATAGAAAACTTGCCTTGCAAGCAAAGGCATGTGGCCTAGAAAGTCAACATATATTGGAGGTCTTATAGAACATCGCCACGTGGCTTCTAGTTAGATAGTATATATAGAGGCAAGAGTGAAGCCCTCTTCACTCTTGTCAACTCCTTTCTTGCTTCTAGTCTAGTTTCAAGGGTCTCTAGTTTTCTTGTATTTTGGCAATAGCCATTCCAGTTTCTTTCTTAATATACATATTTCTATTTTGTCCTATTTCTTTTTGAGAAAAGTCTCACTTACTCTTTAGCTTTCATCGAGTTCTTGTCCTTGACATATAATAGAGACTTTTTAAAATCATCAAGTGTTACGGACATATATACTTACTCCAATATTTATCTATAATAATTATGCTTTGGCCATTAGCTTCATTATTCTTTAAAAAATTCTTCTTTTCAATACTATTAGTTATTTTCTTTATTCTATTGCTATTGCCTCAACTTGAATTCTTTTGCACCATATTGTTTTGTTTGTTTTACATTCCTTATTAGAAAATTATATACACTTGTATTTTGGTATGCCAAATCTATTGTCACAAAACACATGGCAATATCTCAAAAAGAACAAATTATCAAGTCCATGGTGTACCTTACATGGTACTATTTCAAAACATCTCAGTGTTGCATCCATAAAAATTGTTCAATACATTTTGTTGTTGAACGATATTATTGCATCTTACCAATTTGTTTATTTTGCAAATAAAAAGTTGAAAGCATGGACCACTTTTGACAAATGCTAAAATCTACAAACTAAGATTTGTTGCCGTCAATAAAAGGATTTTAGCATAGATTAAATAACCAAGTAGTGAAAGTCTAATTACAAAACTTTTTTGAATAAAGCCACAATTCACCATGATCTAAAAATTGTGTGTATGTATAGAAAAATGGTTACATTGATCAAGATAATTGAATTGTCTTTTAAGCACCAAGTCCACGTTGGAAAAAACAAACATCATCTCTACACCTTTGGACAAAAGCTATAAGTATTATAGTATATGCTTTGAGTCAAATGATTCACACTCAAACTAGTGATTGAACACACTATAACAAATGGTTTGGCTACCAAGCCAAAATAGCATATTACAAAAGGAAAAATGGTTTGGCTACCAACCCAAAATAGCACATTACAAAAAAAAATAGGGTCTCTTATGAATATACACGACGATAAACAAAAACACACTAAAATAAAACTTAAGAGCTATATAAGCATTTTGTATTGAACCTGGCATTTTCACAAAGTACACAGCCTTCAGCTGCCCCTGAGAGCTGCCTTTCTGCCTATGTGTTGTGTTATTCAAACACACGTAAATGAAAATAAAATCGAACTCAAAATCTGGATTCCCATAAAAATTCCGGAACGCCTGCTTTCCTGCATTCAATGAATCTCTCCGCTGCGAACTCTCACACCAAGACGCGACGGACCATGCATCAGTGGCGCAGCTTGCCGGGTGGGTGCCACTGTCCACAAACTTCAGATGCATCCTCCCCGACAGCGTACCACCGCCAATCCCAATGTACTTTCAAGGACTGCCATGTGTCACGCCTCCACAAGAACAGA